ACGCTATGCGGTCTCATATTGTTTGTTTGGTGTTCCTGGTAACAATAAAGTTATCAATACTCCTTGCTTAACCTCGTATGCTAGCCCGTCCTTTATGATCGCCTTCTATCGATTTGAAGCTCACAATATGAACAGAAAAGCTTGTGGACCGTTCCGCCAAGCCGTTGAGTACAAGAATCTATCTTCAGACATTCAAAGCTACGATTATTGCGATACCTGGCCTGTTCAAGACACACCTGACTTCGATGGATGTACAGATTGCCTAAGGGCGGGCGACAACCATTACTTAGCTAACTGTGAGCATCTGCCATAAGTCTGTGGTTGGTCAAACGCTGATGAATAATAGTTTTTACTCTACTTCAAGCTGGATGCGAGCAAAAACCACAACCTGGAGTTACAGTATCTGTTGATGGCGGCCTCTTCTCTCAGGACATTGTCAACATCACTGAGCCCACACCTGTAGCTTCTGTGAATCCGGATTGGCTTGACCAAGGCCCTATCAGTCTCGGTGCTAAGGTCGGAATCACTGCCGGAGGTGTGGTATTTCTATTGTTTGTCCTTGGATTTTGTATCATCTGGCGCGGTAAGAGACGAAGACGGGCCTTTTTGCGACAGCTCGAAACCCGACCCCGTACCAAGGGTAGTTGGCCTAAGAAGGGTTGGCCTACACCATTGCACATCTCTAACGACAACGATATGCGAGAGACACCCTTAAGCCAAAAGCCATTCAGAAGTTGGGACGAATCTCCCGTCAGCGCTCGATCCGAAAAGACATTCCCAAGATATGTCTCCCCTTACGGCTCCCAGTTCGGCAGTCCTGTCAGTGCCACGGAGCTGCAGCTAGCCCAATGGCCGGTGATGAACCCAAACCAACAAGCATATCCGCCGATGCCTAACCATGCATCCAATCCCCATCCGTATCCTGAGATGTTCCCTTCTATGTACAAACCTGACCCGAGTCCCTCAGGATCACAAATTGGTGTAGCTCTTGGTGGCGATGATTCGTCGCTCAACACTCCCCAATCAAAGGGTAAAGATAAAGACGAGTCATACGAGATGTATCCTGTGGATGTCCGGTCTCATGGTGCCATTGGAATTTACCAACCCGAGCACCTCGAGGGATTATATTCACAACCCGATTACTTCGCTCATGGAGATGTGCACCAGGGCCAGATATACCAAGGTCAAGGGCATGGATATCAAGACACTTATGATGACGATTTCAGGGGGAGGAGGCCATAATACTTGAAGAAAGAATTAATTCACTCACATTAACTGCGTTCTTTGCCATTGGACGCTTGGAGTTTGATAGCAGGGATACCAATTTCATTTTGCCAGACTTTTTGATACCAACAGCTATCCAATCATGATCGTAGTCTCTAGATATTGAGAAGTATACTCTTGTCGTTGCCCATTGTATAAAATGGTAAGGTTGATAGTACTTACTACTAGTTAACATGGTAGTTCCTCCGTGATGAGGGTCGTGAAAAGCTGGTGTGGCGTCGACTGTGGCTCTAAAGCGTAAGTAGAGAGACGATGTAGCCACATCGGGATTAGTGTGAAATCACCGCCACACGCTGGTCGCAGCTTCTTTCGGTCCCCACAATGAAATCCGACCAGAGAAAAAAAATTTGGAAGCTTCCAACAACACCGGGCAAGACACTGAGGAAACCAACGACTCGCACCTTCCGTTTCTTCCCTCCTGTCGCAAAGAAGCACCTGCCGCGCTTCACCCGGTATATCACACAATTTCCAAAAGGGAAACTACAATCCGTTCAAAATGTCCAAGGAGGTCGCGGTCGTCAAGAAGACGACAACAGAGGAGGAGGAGTACACCATCAAGCCCCAGGCGACCACTCCTTCTCTCGACACCAGCCAGTGGCCTCTGCTACTCAAGAACTACGACAAGCGTGAGTTTCCTGATACAATTCGATGATTAAAGCGCGTTTTTGATATTTTCCTGTGGCCTGCTGAGCCTCAATTGATCTCTTGAGATTCAGAAGACTAACTGATAATCTTCAAAACTTGCAGTTCTTGTCCGAACAGGCCACTTCACTCCCATCCCCAATGGCTGCTCTCCCCTGAAGCGCGATCTTAAGCAATACATTAGCTCTGGTGTCATCAACCTCGATAAGCCCTCTAACCCTTCTTCGCACGAGGTCGTCGCTTGGGTCAAGCGCATTCTACGGTACGAAAATTTTCCAACCAAGAGTATCGCGTCAAAGTGCGCGTCCAAGTCGAGCTATCTGCTAACGATATTGCCTATAGATGCGAAAAGACTGGACACAGTGGTACCCTCGATCCCAAGGTCACTGGTTGCTTGATCGTTTGCATTGACCGTGCCACTCGTCTTGTCAAGTCCCAGCAGGGTGCCGGAAAGGAGTATGTGGCTGTCATCCGCCTTCACGACAAGCTGCCCGGTGGCCAGGCCCAGTTCGCCCGCGCTCTCGAGACTCTTACCGGTGCGCTCTTCCAGCGACCCCCTTTGATCTCTGCCGTCAAGCGTCAGCTCCGTATTCGAACCATTCACGAGAGCAAGCTTATCGAGTTCGACAACGACCGACACCTCGGTGTCTTCTGGGTCAGCTGCGAGGCCGGTACTTATATCCGAACCCTCTGTGTCCACTTGGGTCTCCTTCTCGGTGTCGGTGGCCACATGCAGGAGCTTCGACGTGTCCGCAGTGGTGCCATGGATGAGTCCAAGGGCCTGGTCACTCTCCACGATGTTCTCGACGCCCAGTGGCAAATGGATAACACCCGCGACGAGTCTTACCTTCGCAAGGTTATCTCTCCTCTTGAGACTCTCCTGACTTCTTACAAGCGACTTGTTGTCAAGGACAGTGCTGTTAACGCTGTCTGCTATGGTGCCAAGCTCATGCTTCCCGGTCTTCTTCGATACGGTAAGTCCTCAAGCGATAATTCGTGTCGCAACTTGCTAATTCATTGACAGAGTCTGCCATTGAGCATCACGAGGAGGTCGTTCTTATGACCACCAAGGGTGAAGCCATTGCTCTAGGTATCGCTCAGATGTCCACTGTCGAGATGTCCACCTGCGATCACGGTGTCGTTGCCAAGGTCAAGCGCTGCATCATGGAGCGCGACCTCTACCCCCGCCGCTGGGGTCTTGGCCCTGTTGCTCTTGAGAAGAAGAAGCTCAAGGCTGACGGCAAACTCGACAAGTACGGCCGCCCTAACGATGCCACTCCTGCCAAGTGGAGCTCCGAATACAAGGATTTCAGCACCAGCGATGCTTCTGCCGCCGCCGCCGCCGCTGCTCCTGCTAAGGCCTCCGAGGCTGAGGATACTCCCATGGAGGAGGCTGCCACTCCCTCTTCACCTGCTGCTGATGACAGCAAGGACAAGAAGCGCAAGAAGCACGATGGCGAAACTGCTGAAGAGAAGGCTGAGCGCAAACGAAGAAAGGCAGAGAAAAAGGCGGCCAAGGCTGCTAAGAAGGCTGCCAAGGGCGAGGCTATGGACAGCGACAGCGACTAATGGAATACAGGCCAAGTTTGGGTATGGGCCGAAACCTGAAGGCAGATCTTGATACCCGAGATGTAGGTTCTGCTGGCAAGGAGAGGTCTGCTCGCTGTACCATATTCTTGTTCTCGTGCCGTTTTTGGCTGCTTGAAAATGTTTTTGGGGTTATCATGGCGTTTTTGGTTCGAAAATCCTGGTAGGAGTAGATGCAAGGCACTCAATGCAAAGCACGATAAAACTACTGCATGTCTCTGTGGGAACCTTCTGTCTAGGACCTGTGAATGCATGAGGTTGAATCATGTCTATCTGCCGTAGTTTATGCTTGTGACCGCTGTGTGTAAGGACTGATGCGTGGTTGGGGTACACTGACACATGACACATAATGTAGCGGTCACGTAGTACGGTGGCTCTTGGTGTTACGGCATTGTTGAAATCCGATCTGAGGTCCCATCGTCATGAAACGTCCATCAAGTCTGGGCAATGCATGTGTTGTCGAGGAGGCTACTGTAAGTATGATGACACATTTTTCTGGGCACGAGATAACTGAGAGCATAAGACACAGGTAGTCTAGTTGAGTCAGGGTTCCACAGGAGGAACATTGGAAAGTCCCTGATACGTGCGGTCGAGTAACAATCCAACCGTTGTCGTATTAGTCGCAGATCAAAAAGGAACCAGTCTTGGCCAAACAGAACATTGGGCCTAGGTGGAAACATTGGACGAATCAGGCTCCAGCAACGCATCTCGAGTAACAGCTGTCCCTGTTTCATAGTTGAGGGAGTGGACTTCCACCGCAGCAACCTGTTCGCTAAGCATAGGATTCAAGTCGCTGCAACTCTGTTAGCCAGCGCATGGCACAGCATGATGGCGAGGGATATCCCGGCTTGGGCGTTTACTTGGACTGGCTGAGTTCTTGGTCCCTTCCTTTGCCTGCTCCTATTAAGATCAGGGATGGGCTTAAGATTAGACTGTTGTCAAGAGAGCGTCTAGTTGGCCGTTTCTGTCCTGCATGAGAGTGTATTGGCGTGATAGCAAAGAGGGTCACGTAGTAAGTGGTGGAAGTAGGTCCCATGGCTTGGCCTGTGGCTGTAAGAGCAGAAGTATAAAGTGAGGAAAACTCGGAGGTTAGTTGTGCGTTTGCTCGTCTAAGGTTCTGATATCTAAAGTTTCTTGTCCCGGAGATCAGTTAGAGTTGCTCATACATGAAAAATACCCCCAACAAGACCCGTCATTGAATCAGAAGCCTATCTACACTTTTGCAGGCGTATTCGACTCAAACCTTCTTCTGCAAAGTCTGTTTTCCCTTGGGATATAAATACTTGCCAAGTTCTCATCTGGGTCAAGGATTCACAACTCAACGTCAGAGCGTGTTGATCACTTAGCCTTCAGCTTTACTCGGACCCAGTGATCGACTATACATGACATAGAGATTGACTGATACCGAGATTGAGGCTCAGCTGAACGATTTATATGCTGCACCGCCAGCGTCCCAGAAAGGGTTGAGTTCAGAAGATATGACCGTCATGTCTGCTTCATCGAGTCCCTGGGGGCTAATCATCTTCTTCGTTCTCTCAATCTCTCTTTTCGACACTGTATCAGCCCTACCAACAAAAACATCGTCTCCCGTTCTTCGACCATTCATATTGCCACCACCAAAGCAGCACTTGAGTCGAAGACATAAAGGTCGCGAAAGGTCTTTCTCCCCAAGACTAGATATCAACTTCCCCGACCCATGTCTTGTTCAAGACCAAGACGACCACTGGGTGTCTTTTGCAACAAGCGGTGGTGGCTACCACATCCAGGTCGCTGTGGCAGATGATCTCATGGGCGAGTGGACTCATCTCCAGCAGGATGCCCTCCCTGGAGATGGATGGACGAGTGGCAGAAATTATTGGGCCCCTGACGTGCGGAAGCTGGAGGATGACTCGTACATAATGTACTTTTCTGGAGAACTTCCAGAAGGTGGACATTGCATTGGAGTTGCACGATCCCACAACAGCACCGGTCCATATACAATGGATCCTGAACCATTCGCCTGCCCACGTGACGAAGGCGGCGCAATCGACCCGGCGGGTTTCTTTGACGAGTCCACAAAGAAACGATATGTCGTCTATAAAGTCGACGGCAACGCTCTCAACGACGGCTCGGGAACTCCCATCCGACTCCAAGAGGTCTCGACAAAGGACGGCTCCACACCAATCGGCAAACCTGTGGACATCCTGGACCGGATCGTCTCCGAGGATGGGCCCCTGGTTGAGGCTCCTAGTCTGGTACGGACAGAACAGGGCAAGTATCTGCTCTTCTTCAGTAGCCACATTTACACAGGTGATGCCTATGATCTCAAGTATGCCATAAGTGACCGAGTCGAGGGCCCTTACAGGCGGGGGAAAGCTCCATTTCTCAAGACACCAACTCTAGGCTTGAAAGGCCCTGGTGGAGGCACAAGTTCGGAAGATGGACAGTTCATGGTGTTTCATGCGTGGTGCGGGAAGGGCAAGAGATGCATGTATGCCATTGGATATGGCCTTGAATACGACTAGAATGAGAAAAGAACCGGCATCGAGAAGGAAATATTCGGCAGTTTTGGTGTTTATGGGACGTTTTTTTGGTTAAGCTTATAGACTAGATTTCATTTTGATTCATTTCATATGCGCTTTTCTTTGTAGTCGTTTCCAGGCACTTTCGCAGGTGTGATGTGATGATGATGAATGAACTTGGTGATGACGGTTACAGTCCAGAGCCAGCCTTGATTAAGCGCTGGGGCTGCTTGGGCCCCTAAAGCTACCTAATAACCGCCCTGAACTACACTGCCGCTTCCCTTGTCTCTGATTCGCTGCTTGTGAAAGCCATCTTCTGGCACTTCCAGGCACGAACCAATGAGGCCACAGAAAATCTTCCGTAAACAGGCACAGTTTGGATGGTCTCAGTTCACCACCTTTTCTGTGTCTCATACATACAACTTAAGCGCCCGTAGCCATTTTTCACCACCCAACTACCTAACCCTCAATCCTTGTTCGCTGCTTGGACCGCCTCGATACCGCCTGGGGAATAGTTGTTTCCTATCACAAGCATGGATCGATGCGGCACAGACAAGTTGGCGGCACTTCTCAGCCGAGAATTGGGTGATTGGGAGCCATAGCGCGGCAATCAGACCCCCTTTTCGGTCGCGTTCAATCCTTGGCCAACTCCAGCTGAGTCCTGCAAGGTGCAATATAGGGCAGAGTATGCATCTTAGTGCGGTGAAGTGTGGTGCATGGCGTTGCATCTGCAGCTCTCGATCGAGTGATGGAGAACGACACCCACGTTCTCGTTTTCTCTTCACACTATCCGTAGGGAATCTAAGTATACTAGCTAAGTTAATTAATATGCAGAAGGGCTGCAGCTCGCTTCTTCTGCTTCCCCTCTGTTCTCAAGAATTCTCGCCTTAGATTTCCACTTCTCATTCCTTTCTGCTCCTCGCTCGCTCACTCATTCTAATTCGTACTTGTGTTGGTTGTATTGCGATGCCCTTATCTTTGACGACGGATACCAACATGTTGTAACAAGGGTATCTGGTATACCAACCCACCGTATTCATTTTCTTTAATACCGTTTCTTCTCTTTCAAATCGAGCTGTTTCACAGCTGGCCTGGCCTCAGATCGACCTCGATACCCATCATAGTATTCTTGTCGCTTATCGAAACAGCGACCTTCTTCTTGAAACATTAAACACCACAGTGGACCTCCATGATGTTCCTCTTCTCCATTGTCCCTTTCTTTTTGTTCTGGATGCCGGTCTCGGCTCTACAAGTCACACCCAACTCTCCCTGTTCCCAGTTTTGCCTTGACCAGTCAGATCCCAATTCGTACGAAACCCGTGGCAACGAGATCGTCTGCGATGACGATGACTTCAAGAGGAAGACAGCAGGCCAGAAGTTCCAAAGATGTCTGGCTTGTTTGCAGGACAGTGCTTTCAAGCAGGGCGACGAAAGTGACCAAGATTGGTTCTTGTGTAAGTCATGCTGAGGACTCATCTGTTCAACATCATCTGACTTTTGCGCCATTAGACAATATGCGTTACTCTTTCGACTACTGTATCTTTGGCTACCCAAATGCAACCGGCATCAGTTCCGGCCCCTGTGTCACATCTGAAGCTTGTGGCCCCATTGGGAATGCTCTGAAGAAGGGCATCACCGAACCCAACGATAGAGGACAGTATGATTACTGTGACACTGATGACAAAGCCATGCTCGGTGACGCAGTTGATAAATGCCAGGCATGTGTCAAGGCAGATAGCTCGCAGACAATCATATCGAATTGTGAGCCGTTCCTTAACCCAGCTGCTTGATTCATCTAACCATCTCTTTGTCTAGTCCTTGTTGCCCTCAATGCTGGATGCCAACAGCGTCCCAAACCAGGAACCCCTATAGGACTCAATGACACTGTTTTCAGCGAGGGGAGCATCTCGATTGTAGATCCCTCTGCCTCTGTTGCACCAGGAGATAACCATGACCTTCCCAACACCTCAATTGCTGCCATCGCTGTTGGTGCCGCCGCTTTCCTTCTCATTTCTGCAGGCTGTATCTTCATGCAACATCGGAAACGCAAAAAGCATTCTGTACGCAACAGACGCTCTTCTCTCTCGTTCCGTTGCCAGACACATGTTACACCAAGGACTCCCGGCTTCCACGACCTCCCCCCTTATATGGATGAAGAACGAAACCTGTCAAAGACTGCACTTTGGAACCCACGTAGTGCAGTGAGAAATCTGAACGATACCCACAAACTCGGCATTGTCACTACCGCTATCCCGCACCCGCCTCCGACAAAAGCTCCTCTACACACACCCTATCGCGAGGATGCGTCTCCAGCAGAGAGCGTATCAAGCTGTACAAACGCTCCCCTGTTGTCAAACTCAGCTGGGCCACAATGTAGTACACCGGGGATCACATCCCCGCTGTTTAGCCCCGGTTTCTCTATCACAACGCCCCGTTCAGCTACATTCCCACGTGAATGCCACGATAGCAACAATCCCTGGGTGCAACAACCAAGTAATGGTTCAGGCAAAGGCTTTCTGAGGAAAAAGCAGTCCAGAGATTCACAGGCTCCCAGCGAAACACGGAATATTCGGATCGTCTTTGATCCACCACCCAAAAAGGCCAGACGACCGTGAACTCATGTACTGGTGCTTATTTACGTTGATCATTTCTGAGCGGAGGAGTTTCATGGGTAAACAGACACGGTACCTAATTATGGATATGGCTTTAGTGGCGAGATGCTGTAATAAGAGATCAGTCAAAAGGCAGCGAATGCGTGATGTGACTTGAAATGAAATGAAATGCAGACGTGTGTATTTATTTGCTTGACCATTTCTCCTTATAATGCAATGCCTTTCCCAACCAGCACTAAATCATGCCATCACCTCATATCAACACAGGTACCTGGAGTAACCGCCAAGACTCAAGTGTTGCAACTCCCTTCCATCCAACCACAGGAGTATATACTTTGTATGGCACCGCCGTCTTCGTCATCAACAGTCTTGGCTTTTTTATGTACAATTTCTCATATATCTTGATCCCAGGGTGTCGAGCCTCTGCTGATCAGTTCACTCTGCATTCTATCATTCTGGTCTTTGAACCAAGTCGCTCCCTCTTCCATCTCCTCCCTCATAGCACGGAGTTCGTCGATTAGGGTTTGCGCATCGCTCATTACTCGTTTATGCGAGCTGAGTTTGGTCTGGTCATCCTGAGCTAGCTCACCATCGTCGTCAGTGGCTCGCTTTCTCTTGTTTGTCGCAGAACTATCAGATTCGGTGGTATCGACGGTGCCGTGCGACCCAGATAATCGATGGCGTTCCTCAGAATGACCAAGGCCACTTATAGAGGCCCGGCGCTTAAAACCACTGCTAGGCGGGCCCATACTGCCCGTTGACTGCTTCTTGCCATACTGCATCTCGTTCGCCAGCCTTTCAGGGAGAGCAGTTCCATCAGGCATCTGCACAATCCCCATAGCCTTGAGTCGCCAGCGTTCGGATACTCTGCTGACACGATTACTGGGCTCTGGACTTTCGGCATTTCGAGAAACAACGGGAGGCAGCGAGCGTCTGAAAGTGGCCGATTGATCACCAAACTGTTGCCGAAGAGCTCTGGTCTTTGAACCACTTCTTGCGAGAGATGAGCTCGATTGTTTGCTGGAAATGGAGCTGGTGGCGGATGGCGCTCTACGCACAATCCTGGCCACAGCTTCCTGCTCGTTGTTAATTCCAGATAGAACACCGGAAGCAAGCAGTGCGTCCTCTTCTGCTGCTTGACGGCGTTTACTTGGCTTCTTGTGTTTAAGTAGATCCTTCAGCTCCTCTGGTCGATTCAACTCGGCGATTTCAGCCTGCTCTCGGGCAGCTTGGCGAGCAGCTTCTCGTTGAGCCTTGGCTTGCGCTACACGCTGTGCTTCATAGTAAGCTCTCATCTGCTCTCGACCGCTACGACGAAGCTGGCTCAAGCGGCGATCACGCGCAATCTCTTTCCAGCGATAGAAGTACCTGACTGATAAGCTGTAGATGCGAAACTTTTGTGCCTCTGCCAGTGCTTGCTCTTCTTCCTCCTTTTGTCTCCTGGCTTCTTCTTCCTTGACGTATTTTCGATACACGCCTTGTAGTATATTATCCAACATAAATGCTTGAAATTCGTCCATGAGTCCGTCATCGCCAGTTACGAACCATCTGGTAAAGTCACCCAAGAGGTCACGAGGTGGCAATGATGGTTCAGGAGGGCGGATAGGCTCCTTTGCTATTTGTGCAGCTGTTGGGGTTGTTGACAGTTGGGAGCCACCACCATTTGATGCAGGATGGGACAAAGATGAGGTTCCGACCGAAGGGAACGAAAATTGAGGCGTAGATGTGGTTGAGGGTTGTGTGTCAAAAAAGCTCGTTGCCGGCTTGCCTTGTTCTCCAGTTAACGTAGTTGTTTTGCCCAGGTTCAAAGCTGCTGGGGGTATCGTCGCTTGTGATGTGGCACTGCTGTCGCTCGGTGTGGATGATTTTTGAGGTTGTGTTACGGTAGTAAAGGGACTTGAGGACAGTTGAGGCGTTGGTGGAAATATGTTGATGCTAGGTTGCTTCGCGGGTTGTGTTGAGGTGATGGTGGGAGCATGGAGCTGTGGCTTGTCCGCTGCTATCACTTTGCTAGAAGTGTTCTCTGTCGAGGCGACCGCTGTAGGGGCTGGCAGTGAGGTGAAGGTCGTTCCTGATGTCGTCTCTTTCTCACTGTAGGCAGAACCCTGACCGAATGGACTGCTCTGTGCCTGCTCACCCGAAGTGGTTGGTGGCTTGAAAGAAGAGGCAAACGGGTTCAGTACTGGCCCGTTTCCATTTCCAGATCGAGGTGGCTGCTCGGGGGTAGGTGCTGGCAGATGAGAAACATTGCCGGCGGAGGATGGCGTAAGTGCAGATGTGTGTGCGAAGGGGTTGACCGCAGGCGGCTTGGCTGTCGAAGCCAAGCCAGATACGAATGGGGGTTTCTGGAATGGTGTTTGTTGTGAACCAGAAGCACTAATCGAGGCCGTTCCGTTGATTGTAGTCCCTAAGCGAATACAAACGTCAGAACCAGTGGTTTAGGCGTGTCTTTGCCAGATTTCCAGTGGTTCGTCTCGAGCCAATGTGTTGTCCTTAGTAAATCTCAAGAACTGTGGCCTGTCGAGTCTCCGGCTGAATGCGATTTCCTATTCGCCTGCAAAGTAAAGGTCTTTGCACGTAATCGAACATGCAGAGAACCATGGGATGCAGAATCTTTGGCGCAAATTAAACAGTAGGAATGGAGTCTTACCTGAGTTGCCATTGATGGGCTTATTGTCCCCTCCAGGTTCACTAGGCTTGCCAAATGATGCAAATGGGTTTGGCGTTGTAGCTTTGGGTCCAGTGGGAATTGTTGGATTGTTGGGAGTAGGTTTTGTTTCTGGAACAAAAAGGCTTTCTTGGGATGAACCGTTAACTGCAGCCTTGGGGGGATTTGCGCTTTGATAGGTTGTTTGATGTATCAGCTCTGGTAGTGATTTTGAGCCACGTTTCTTTTCCACAAGAGAGTAAGAGAATTGGTGTTGAAGGCGAAGGTGAGGTAAAGAACCACGACTGTCCAGTTTCGCGTATTGGCGACTGGCGTCGGATGGGTCCTCATCGCATTGGCCAAATTCGATATTGTGAAGCTCCGCAAATTCAACAGCTTGCTCGATGGTATCGAAACGAAGAAACTTGTTCAGAACTGCAGCAGTAACGTCCTTGGACGTCTCCCTGGGCCGAGCGAGACCTCTATTGATGGCGGCCAAGATAGCGCGACGAAGCCTGGGAAAGTGGCATTCTGCGAAGCAAGCCATTGTGTATGAAACCTTGGGATCCTCAACTATTCTGAAATATGACTGATATGCCGCTGATGCTGCTAATGACGGCGCATCCTTCAGAGGTCCGTGAAAGTCTTGGGTATTTTGAAGAGCCTCAACGAGTAGGACGGCCGTACGAACCTCATTGGAGTCCTTCCAAAGGGCTGGTTTCCATTGGCGCTGCAACGTTTCTATAATGTTCGAATCGTAGGCATGGAAGATGAGGTAGTATGCCCGGAATTCCGGCTCGTTCTCACATCTTATGCCCTGATCGTTGCAATCATCGTAAGCGTCGCGGAGGGACAAGAGGGCTTTCCCAAGCTGTTCTAATTCCTGTTGCTCTACGAAGTCCTCGGGTGTTTTGCCGTCTCGAGTGAGAAGGTGAAGTGCCGTAACATGGAACCGCGCGATGTTCTCCAAAACATAGACCTGAAGTTTCATTTCGTCGGGGGTGAGTGACGAGAAAAAGGTGAAATCTCTGCGGATCGCGCGTGTTCTGTCCCATAAAAACCCATGCAAGACTGGTAGGTTGCCGTCGTCACGTAACAGGTCGTCAATTAAATAGTCCAATGTCCTTTTGAGGGCCGGCACGGATCGAACGTCCATGGGCAACGGCGCTTCTTGACCAGCGGCGGAGCGAGCGAGCTTCTTGACCATGCGACGTGTATTGGCGTATGTAGTCTTGGGATTCTTTTCGGGCTGATGAACGTCCATTTCATTAATTCGCGTGATCTTCTCGTACTCAGGGCACATATCCTCGCAGATGCCTTTGAAATCGATAGCATCCTGAAGAGTTTTGCGCTTATCTGGGTCATCGATCAGTCCGGCCTTCGTCAGAGATGCGCGCGCCTTATTGCGGTAGGTTTCGTATTTCTCGCGGAACTTTGTCACTTCAGCCTTGTTCTTGGGATTCCCAGGTTGTGAAGGCCACTGGGGAGGGTGAATGCCATCTTTACGCAGTTGCTCGTATACCCTTTTCGCTTGCGGATCGTCGGAATGATAGGTATCGGGGATAGGCTCATCGTCGGAGTTGGCGCTTGATGATGAAGTTGGTCGCGACTCGATACGCGTCGCCGCAAAAGGAGTTGATCCATTGCTCCGCGTGTTTTGTCCTGCTTGTTTCCTTGAGAAGGTGGCAGTATTGGAAAGATTTTTCTTTAGATCAGTGTTCTTCTTCTTTTCGTCGCTTTTCCGGTTCTTGTTCCTGCCACCTCCGTCACTCAGATTGGCATCCTTGTTTTTGAACTGTTTATTCGCCTTGCGCTTTGCTTCATTGTCGCTCTGGTCGCCAAATGCTGATGATCGCTTGGTCCGCTTCGTCTTTGACGAGTCGCCTGTACTATCAATTCCGAATGCGCTGCCTTTGTTCTCAGAGTTCGTCGCAAAGGGATTGAACGCTGGAGACGGACTCCGCGTTGGCTGGCCGAAAGTCGAAAACATCTGATTTGATGATGCAACAAGCGTCGCACTCATCTAGGAAATCGTCTGGACATGAGGATGAGTTAAAGCCCTCTCTATGAGTGGTGTGACGTGAATGTTTTAACAAGCTGCGGTTGAGTGATGGAGATAGAATTGATCCATTGAGCTAGTTCCTATTCTAGAGAGCTATGGTTTGCTTGTTGCACTGGACCCACTCTCACGTGATAGCAAAGGTACATAGAAGTTCGTACCATAGTAGAACGTAAATCAGCCGCGTATCCCATCTACATTTGCGAACACATGTCTCATTGAAATCCCTTTACTCCTGAAACTCCGTTCTTTTATTCCAGTCCAAAATTTCAAATCTGGTTGATCTCCCATGTGCCA